CAATAAAACAGAGAAAAGATTAGCTCCTGTTCAAATTTGTAAACAGAAGCTTGAAGAGATCAGATAATAATAATTTAAAAAGAAAATGTCAATGAATGCAATTCTTATATCTACTATGATTGATAACATGTATAATATGAAAGTCATGATAGACAGCAGTCTATGTCACTATACAATGATAAAATCTTCAGTTATAAAACATTATAATCTTCAGTATATTCTCTTATCAAGACTCTGACTCCTCACAGAATTTGATGATTTAAAAGACATTTGTACTTATTACATGATGAAGCTGATCATAGATATGAGAGAACATTAATATGAAGATATCTATGCATATGAAGTTGATAATCTTGATTATAATCTTATATTAGAACTTGTCTAGCTATCTGAACAAGGCATATTATTGAATACTTAAAACAGAAGCTTGATATTCTCTAACAATAATAGAATTCACACAGATGACATTTACAAGACTATGAATCTGACACAGATCTCTGTCAACACCTATGAAATGCTCAGAAAAAGAAGTCACTGAAAGAATTGTTAATAGCAGAATCATGTATCAATCTATTCTGTTAGTCTGACTGATATTAAAAAGACTCTAGAAAAGTTATCTCACATTATAATAACAGATTCTTATACAAAACTCTCTCAATAATATCATGAATATCTAGATGTCTTTTAACAAGATAATAATGCTATAAATCTATCTCTCTTACAAGGTTCAGGAGTGAATCACAGTATTAAGTTAAAAAAGAAGAATAGCAAGAACTCTGAATTATTATAAGACTCTCTTTATAATATATCTTAAGATGAACTTCTTCTTCTCTGAAAGACACTTAATAATCTGTTAGATAAGAAATTTATATATATTAGTAACTCTTTCACTGCAGCTTCTATTCTCTTTGTAAAGAAGTCAGATGAAGAACTCTGATTCTGTGTGAACTACTGAGGTCTGAACAGATTGATAAAGAAAGATTGATATCTCTTATCTCTTATTAATGAATCTCTAGCACAGATCAGATGAGCTCAATAGTTTATAAAGTTAGATATTATCATCACATTTCATAAGATTCATATCACTGAAGAAGATGAATAGCTTACAGCATTTCAAACACATTATAATCTCTTTGAATGAATAGTCACACTCTTTGAACTACCTAACACTCTCAGTATATTTCAGAAGTATATCAACTGAGCACTTTAAGATTTTCTTAATAAGTTTATATCTGCTTATCTAGATAACATTCTCATCTTCACTGATGAATTCAGAAAAGAATATCAAGAGTATGTGTAAAGAGTATTATAATAACTACAAGAAGTAGAACTATTAATTGATATTGATAAGTGTGATTTCAAAGTTAAGAGTACTAAATACTTAGGTTTCATCATAGAAGCTGGTAAGAAGATTCAAATGAATTCTGAGAAGATCTCTGTCATTCTCAAATGAGAAGCTTTATATACTGTGAAAGATGTATGAAGCTTCATTGAATTCACTAACTTCTATCAGTAATTTATACAAAACTTCTCAGATATCACAAGATCACTTACAGACCTCACTAAGAAGAACTCAGTATTTCAATAATCAGCAGATACTGAAGCTGCATTTATACAGATGAAGAAGATATTCATTAATATCTCTTTACTAATAATATTTGATTCTGATTGTAAGATAGTTGTTAAGATTAATTTCTCTGACTATATGATAGAAGAAGTGATATTATAATATAATGATGAAGATGTTCTACAATTATGTGTCTTCATATCTAAGAAACTGAGTTCTGCTGAATGCAATTATGAGATCTATGATAAGAAACTTCTCATAATTATATGTTATTTAGAAGAATGAAACTCTGAACTTCAAAATATCTCTGAATTTGAGATAATTATAAATTATAAGAATCTTAAATACTTCATAACTATCTGTAAACTCACTGAATAACAGATGCAATAATCTGAGTTCTTAAGCTGCTTTCATTTTACAATACACTACTGTTCTGACAGTCAGAACTTGATGACAGATACTCTCTCATAATAAGAGTAAGATATATCATTTAATATAACAGATACTCACTGAATGAACTGAGAGCATCAGCTCTTGAATTCAAAGATACTAGTTGATTAAAATGAAACAGTTCATGATACTATACATGCTTTTCTGATTAGAACTATACATGCTTCTTCAGTTAGAACTGCTATTGATATCTTCACTTCTTCTACACTGAATGAACTGTGGCATACAGCAGCTCAGACAGATGAACTTCTTCAGACTCTCACTGAAGTAGTATATTAAGAAGTATCTCAATTCTCTTCAGAACTACATATAAGAACTGATATCTCAGAATGTTTAATTAATGATAATAACACTTTATAATTCTGTGAACAACACTGAGTCTCTCACTCTGAACTCTTACACACTCAGATAATGTAAGAGATACATGATTTGTATATAATCAGTTATTCAGGCTGTGAACAACTGTATAGAATGATCTTCTGAGAGTTCTACTAATCTGAGATATCAAACAGTATCAGATGCCTTATCTGAAACTGCAATCACTGTTCTTCTATTATCTCATGAAAGAATTATAGAAAAGATCTATTAAAATCACTCAATATCTCTGATAGAATCTGATAAGATGTAGTAATTAACTTCACTATTAATCTATCTGAGAGTAAGAGTTATAGAAACATTCTGATCATCATGAATTGACTGAGCAAAGATGTAATATTGAAATCTTGTAATAAGATGAATACTGAACAAGTTATTAAAGCTTTTCTACAGAGCTCATTCTATCAGATACATGAATTATCAAGATCTATAGTATCAGATCAGAGTCATCAATTCATAAGCACTCTTTAAATAAGAATCTATCAAGTTCTTAAGATTATATGTTATTTATCAACTGTTTATCACTCTGAGATTGATAATATATTAGAATGAATAATTCAGACTGTGAAGAATTATCTCTGTAAGTTCTGTAATTACTTATAAGATAATTGATATAATCTTCTTCTATATACAGAGATTACTATTAATAATCAAGATACTGTTTTAACAGATGTAAGTCTGTTCTTTCTTACACATGAATATCATATAAAAGTGTTGAATCTTCTAGAGATTACACAGTTCATACTAAACCTCTGCAGTCTAATTCAGATTGCTGATAATATAGTAATAAAGCTCTGAGATGCTCACAATTGAGCAGAGGCCTTCATGATAACTGTGAAATAAGATTAAGAGAATTAAATCAATATTCACTGAGATCTCACTGAATAATATAAGATAGAAGATCTGATATAATTGAATCTTAAGAACATATAAATCACATATTCATCTCATACACTAGATTATCATTACATCAAGTATAAAGTGATAGAAGTTCTAGATAGTTATAACTATTATCTTGATATATTATCAGAGATTTATAATGTATTTTACACAAGCTTACTTCACTGCACTGCTATCAATCTGTTCTCTTCTCAACTGACTTCTAACTGACAGTCATCAGACATCATAGAAGAAGATAATAAGCTTAAGTGAGAGATTGAGAATATTCTTAATAAGAGATCTCACAGCTGCAGCTGATAATATCTTATAAAATGAGTTAACTATAATCAACTGATCTGAACTCTGAGTTTCATGTTATCTGAAACAGCAGCTCTTGACTGATGAGAACTACTTCTGAAAGAGAGAGACTAATGTGACAGGCTGCACCTAATCAATTATATAAACTATTCTATTACACTTCATAGATTCTTCTGTTTCACTATTGAATACATACACTCTGATTCTCAGCCATTCTTAATCATCAATTCTTAGCTGCTATGAATGTGTATAGATTCTTCTGCTCTGAAGCTTCACTGCATATATTATCACATATGTATATAAATATTCACTCTGATTATTAATTTCTACACTTTCTCTTTCTTTTCCTTCTTTAATATTTTTCTCTTTGTTATATAAGACCTATTAATATTATACTGATCTATTCAGTATAGGCCTTTTACAGACTTTATAGATATTAGAAAAACTCTGAGAATTAAAAGTTTTCAGATAGATGTTATAGTCTCTGACTGTATACATCTATAATTAAAGAATAATAATAATAATAATAATAATAATAATAATAATAATAATAATAATAATAATAGTTAAAAGAAATATCAGATTGTCTCTTTTACAGACTAATTACTTTCACTCTTACATACTTACTACAGCTGTTGATTTATATAATCAGTGATTACAAGCTTTTATAAAAGATTATATAGCGGTTAACTTTTTATAATAATAATTAATTACTTCAGAAACTTCTTTATTATAAAGTATAAATCACTGAAATAAATATATATATATTGTATAAAAATAACACTTTTTAATAACACTTAATTTTTAATATTATAAAAATAAATAGAGTCTCTCTGTAAAATTTATTTTTATCAGAAATCAGTAAATTTTATATTTTTTAAGATTATTTTTATTATATTTTATTTCTAAAATCAATGAGAGAAATTATTAGACTGATTGTGTAACCGTGTCTGAGATCAGAATTGTGGTACAAAGGTTGCTTAAGCCAGCGTACGATTACAGGCGTACGCCGGCTTCTTATATATTGTAATATCGTACGCTAAATTAATTAGTGGCCGCTATGGCCCCCCCTTTACATTTGTATGCTAGTAGTTCGGAAGCGGCCGCGTTATTATCTGACAGTCGTACGTTCTTCCGAACCACATCCTCCCCCACCAGATTCGGTCACGCCCATGTGACCATGTCATACACTCTAGCCTCATGCGGATTAGCTCGCCACTAGTGTTTCGCAATCATGTGGCCTATCCCTGATTCGGCTAGCGTCCCGCGTACGCCCTCACAAAGAAACTTTCACTATATTACACCACTCATTCACTAACTTTTCCCATCCTCCAACCATCATCTCCATCATCGTCATCATCGAACGCCACCATCTCATCCAAGATTCCTACCCCTCCTCCTGTCCAATTCTTTCCATCTGTCCACCTATCACGTCGTACGCGTTCCTGGCGATGGCCCCCTGTTCCCACAACAAGCGTCCTCGTAGTGCCCATACCGGGCAGTTCGTTAGCAGTAAGTGTAACGCGTTGTGGAATGTGGCCAGGACTTGTTTATCTTCTAACAATCGCCAGAACGTACTACCATGGATGGCACACCTTCTCCACCTTCTCATACGCCCTCGACCGTTTCCTTCTCAGCGGGTTTCTGATCGTGTTTTCTTTCTGACGCTGATTTTCCTGTTCTTAGGGGAAATCGTTATGGGTTTTGCTGTGCACGAAGTCATGGTGTCCACAGACACCAAGAAGCTTTTTATGACTGTAAAGTTCAACATTGCAGGGACATCCACTCTGGTGAATTCCTTCAGAATGATAGATCTGTATTGGCCTATTCTCTGATATCTGTCATCTGACTTTGTGGTGCAGGCAAAAGATATCTGTGTTTTCAGAAACAGGAACATGGATGTCATTCTCTTTTACACCTGCAGGCATGAGGCTTGTACACCTTGTCTGAAATGTCATTGTGAGAATAAGCTGTTCACATGCTGTGTTCTGCTTTCTGCATTCTCTCATGTCTCTCTCTCTCTTTCTGAGGAGCCTTGTGTGTGTTGTAATTACATGTACAACTCTAAGGTCAGTGAGTGTTCATTCAGTAACTGTTCTTATCTCTGATTTTATGATTTTCATATACTAATAATAATTCTTAGTTGCTCTGATGTCAGAGGTCATTCTGATTAAAGATGATAACATCACTGAGACTACTCTCTTCTGCTCTTAAGCTTTTTCTATTACTTTCTCTTTCTTCTCTGTGAGAAAGATTGTGTATACACTGAGTTGTAAGTGTTCAGTCTCAGATAACTCTCACTGTTATTTATCTGATTCTGTATTTTCTTCTTCTTCTGTTTCTTTTATCTTCATTCTCTCTGTTCTGACTTCTGATTCTGCAGATTCTATACTCTTCTTCAATTTCTCTATACATATGCATATGCATTTCTATATTGGCATTTCAGTTAATCTTGTGATAAATGATATTAATGTTATATACAGAGTAATAGAGAAATCAGAGATATACACAGTGTTATTACAAGAGTGACTTACAGCTCTTGAATTTCTTGTAAATTTTGAGTTTTGAGATTTTCTTTGTTTTTAGTGTTTTTCAGATGACATGACTTTGAAAATAGATTAACATGTGATGTATAAAAATGAATGAGATATATATAATAATATTTGTCTTTTATAGCTGACTCTTACAGTTAATGATTAATTCATTATTTCTTTTCTTATACTTTTTCTTTATCTGCTAGTTACTACTCTTATATAATCTCTATATAATACAGTGTTCAGTAACTAGATTCAGTAGCTTTTATCTTTTATAATTCTGCTCTGTGTATTATACTGTCTCTCTTCACCTGCTCAGATCACTACAGTGAATAGCTTATTAAAACTAATCTCACTTAATGTCTGAGTGTTCTCAGAGATTAAGATAACTTAGTCTTATATATCTGTAAATATTTCAGATAGTTCATTCTCTGTGATCTCTGCAATTAAACTGATGTAAACAGTTAAATTTAACTCTGAATTTCTTTTTCTTCTGTGATCTGACTTATATACAAGTCTGCTGCTTTGAGACTGCTCTTTACTGTATTACACTCACTATCTGCTGTGTGTTATTATATGACTGACTACAGTCTTATTACTTATTAAAGTGTGATATTTATCTGATTTCTTTATTACTTTTCATTCTTTTCTTATAATTATGAAAAGATTGAAATAAGTGAGATCATCTGATTTATAAGCATCTATAATTTCTCTTACTTTGTAAGACTTTTCAATTATAAGTCTCTTCTTTTTCAACACTGATGATAGTGCTGTAAATAATTATAATTCACTCAGATCTTACATCTTTACTTTCATAAGTTATGAATTATTTATTAAGTTGTATAAGATCTGTCTCTCTGATTCTTTCAATGCATACATTCTCAGAGAATATGATTTAAGTATTTTATATAACTTAAATTATCTAGATTAAAACTTCTCAGAACTCTTATTATATACAAGAACTTATATTCTCATCTTGAGACTTAATTCTTTAACTAGTAAGTCTTGTATTCTTTTCAATTGAATTGCTTGATTCAGAAGTAACTTATTAGCTTTTGTATATATATAACTAATCTCTTTCAATCTTGATTTCATGTCTGTAACTATTGTTTTCTCTCTCATCTTTTCTGAAGCATTCTCTGAGATGCGCGGATGCAATTCATACAACAGGTAGAATAATAAATACTTAGTAACTGCATACTGCTGAATTCATGTGATTAATAGTGTCTGATCAAGATATTTATCTCATAATCTCATAGGCTTACTCACTAGATATTTCATCAGTATATTGCTTAAGATTTTATTCAAGTGTTTTATCTTCTCATTCATCTACAGATGATATAATGTTGTTCTACAATGTCTTATCTATAACTGGCTTATAAAATGTCTCACTGCTTCTTCTATGAGATTCACACTGTTATCAGTTAGAATCTCACACAGCATTTCATAGTTAACATAGATCTCATTATATAGAAACTTTATTATCATCTTCTCTATTATCTCTGAAACTGCTTTTACAACTGATCAGTCAGTAGCATAATTAATAGCAGTGATTATTCATTAATTTTTATTTAGTATTCATAGTAATATGTCTATGAGATTCATCTCTCATTGTTTAAACAGTTGTATTATACACTTTATCTGATATTATACTTTCTTATATTCTAACTCTTTCTTAGATTCTTTCACAACCTGATAATTCAGGCACTTATAAGTGTATATCTGAATGTCCTCAGCCATGCTTAGTCAGTATACTCTTGATTTAAGTACACTTATGAGTTCAGGGCTTTCTAAGTGACTGAATTTCTTATATATGTGAGTTATCAAGTTATATTTAAATGAAGATTCTAGATAGAGAGCTTCTACATATTCTAGATCACAGTAAAGCACAATGTCATTTTTCAATTTTCTCAGCTTGAAGTTTGAAAGCATCTCTTCTACTACTTTCATAAGATGCTTGTTATCTGACATCTTGCTATTCTTTAAGTAAGAGATTATAATATTTACTCATTCTGATTCCTTGCATTCTCTCAGTGTATTTAACATGAATATCTCTTATACCTGGTTCACAGAACTCTCACTTATAAAATCAGGTCTGTGACTGATTGTATCAGATATCACAGTGTCTGATCTCTTTCAGTATTTAATATGAAGATTATACACTTGAAACTCTGAGATTCAATATGCTAAGTATTTGAAAGGTTTTATCATTAATTATAGATAGACAAGGCTTTTGTAATTCATGATCACTGTTATTGTATGTCTGTTATCAATATATCTATTTCATAACATCAGCATATGCTTGATTACTAGCAATTCCTTTTCATACACTGAGTAATTGAGCTCAGTATCTAATAGTTTTCTACTATCATACATCACTGAGTACAGCTTGCTGTTCTTACTCATTTATAGAAGAGCATCTCTGATAGCTTATTCAGATGCATTCATCTCAATGTAGAAAGGTTTATCATAATCTGATTGAATAAGTACTGAGAATATTATTACATGTTTTCTCAGTATGAGAAAAGCCTCTTCACACACAGTATTTCAGATGATTGAATAAAACTTCTTCTTTCACAGATTTGTATTCATTTCTCTTAAGAGATCTGAGAGTGATGCAGATATTTATATGAAATTCTTGATAAATCTATAGTAATATGAGATCAACTCAAGAAACTGTTGTATATAGTATACATTTCTCAGTCATAATTAATTCACTATAACATTCAATTTCTCTGAGATGAGATATATACAGTCATCACTTACTATATATTCTATGAACTTCAACTCTTCTGTTTTAAACATATACTTGATTGATTTAGTGTAGAGCTTATACTCTGCCAGAGTTATAAGCACTTTATCAAGATACTTCAGATATTTATTATATGAGTTTGAAAAGACTAGAATATTATTGAGATATATAAGATATAAGATTTCATTCTGTTTATAAAGAATTGTATTCATCATTATTTGAAAGATGATGAGTACATTTATCAGACTGAATAACATTGCTAGAAATTTGAACTTCTTTCATTGTATATTAAATGTAGTTCACAGAACTGACAGTTTGTCTACATGAATCTGCTAGTATTCTGAGAGAAGATTGATCTTTAATAGATATCAGATATTTTCAATCATATTCAACTGTTGTTGAATTTATAATAGTGAATATTCATTCTTGATCATAAGCTTGTTAAGTGCTTGATAATCAATATATATCTATCACTTCTCATCTGTCTTTTTTATGAATAGAACTGGAAAGTCTCACACACTTGATGAGAATTATATGAGATTACATTCTAGAAGGTCTGTGATCTGACACTTCTGTTCTTTGAGATATATTTGTGACAGAGAGTATATATTCTGATTGACTGATTTTGTATTCTCTATATCAATCTCATGTACAAATTCTTATTTCAGTAGCAATTCTGATGAAAGATCTGTTCAGAAGATCTTCTCATACTTCTTCAGAAGCTTCTTTATATACTTATTCTTCTGTATATCTTTTATCTTAATTTTCTCTGCTTTTAGATCCTGTATAATATACAGAATACTTTTAAATGAGATCTTGTAAATCATTCTCTTTGTTTATTAATGTGTAAGCAGATTTAACTCTTCTATATCAGAGACATGAAATGTTCTTCTTATATCAGTTGATAGAATTGTATGAACTGTTTTCTTTCTATCAGTTAACTGTATATAACATGTATGTCATTGAATCTGCAGATTGAATCTTTGAAACTAATTAAGTCTGAGAATAAGATTATATTTCATGTTCTGCAGCTCTTATATCTAAATATAGCAAGATTATTCTCTGAAGTATAAGAGAACTCTTACTCTTACAGATGATATTAAATATCAGTTATCAGATAATCTTATATATCAGAGATTCTTCACTTGATAAACCTCTTTCAATCTTTGAATTATATAATTATTAATATATTATATAGAAGCTTCTGTGTTTACTAACACTTTTACAGTCATCTCTCAATTCTTACTTAAGTGCCTCTTATACATTAACATTTCAGATCTCAAGATATTGAGATAAGCATTCACTTTCTCACTCACATCTCAGTCAGAAGCCTGCTTTCTCTTTATATTTACAGAATTCAGAGAGTCATCTAACACAGACATCTCTTTCACTTTAAAGACTTTTTATAGAATATTAGTGAGTGTCTCTGAGCTCACTGATTCTGCTAGTTTTTTGACTTTCTTACTTCTCTTGACTGTACATGCTGAGTGTAATCTTTTATATTATAATTTTAACATCTGCAGTTGAAGTAAGCTTAATACTCATAATATCAAGGTTTTCACTCAGAGAATTTCTTTTTCAGAGAATTCAGTGCTTTAGTGATGACATTCAGATCTAAATTTATCATATTCAGATATATAACTTATGTTATAGAAGTCTGATTATCTATTCTTTACTGAGATATACTCAATTGCAGTATTTTCTGTTATAATTGACTCACTTATTCTTATATAATAAGAATATTGTATGCTTCTTTCACTATATCTGATTATAAAATTAAGTATTTTCATTTCACTCTCAACTCAGATGTAAGATTATGAATAAAGATCTGTAAATAGAAAGATGTTGAAAGCTCTTCATTCAATATAAAATAGTATAAGCTGAAGTGTGTGAAGTATAATATAAGATTACTTATTTATCTACACTCAGTGAAGTGTTTATAATACTTATCTTATATATTCACTTTCTCAAAGTTATACAAGATTCATTTGAAAAACTCATTTCATGTTTATAAAAATGAATATTACTCTGAGTCTGTGAGATTCATCTTTTTATCAGTTATTCATAATAACTTTGCTTTTTCATGTAGAAATATGACAGATTTTAAGACTTGTTAAAATTCTGTTAACTGCCTGTTTATGAGTTTATATTCAATCTGATAATATGATTATATCTGACTTAGTCAGCTGATTACAGCATTATTTTTTCAGTCATTATTAAAGCTTAATAACTCTGACAGATCTTTCAGCTTGATATATCTCATACTCAGATTCTCATTCTGTACAGTGATCTCTGATAATATATACACTTCTGAAGAGATTATAAACAATCATGATAAGATCTTCAGATTCAGTGTAGTTATTTATTTATATAAATATTTAATCTTCTACTGTAGGTCTAAGATCTGATTTTCTCTATTCTTATTAATAATGATGATTATGTCAGTGAAGCTCTTCATAGTAAATGCTTGATCTGCAGTGAATATCAATTGTTGTTTAACTTCTATCTCAGTCTGTCACTGTGTATACAAGGCCTTGATCTCATTTAGAATTCTTATATATATATAAAGCTTCAATTTCAGTTCAGCAGTCTCAGCTGTTTTTCTTACTACTTTAAGTAAACTCTCTGAGAGATTCTGTATATCTTTCAGTTCAGATAGCAGAGAAGAATGTTGTTTATATCAGCTAGAAAAGATATTCATTTTAGTGATTTTCTTATTAATTGTATAATATCTATTATTATCACTGTATTATTATATTGCTATATCACTGTATTATTATATCACTATATCACTGTATTATTATATAATTTCTGTTATCATTGTATAACTTCAGTGATAGTCATCTCTCTCTTTTATTCTTCTTTTGAGTAGAGAGTAGACTTCTTTGAATCTCATTCATCACTCTCATTTTCTTTTTCACATCTCATCTGTTTGTATACATGATATTCACCTGAGTGTGAAGTTTTCTCTTAATAAGCAAAGCAGCATTAATTAGATGCTTTTTCACTTATCACTCTTCATACACTATCTTTTGAGACATTCTAGAATCACACTGACATGATAACTATAAATCACTTTATAGATGAAATTATCACACTCTGAAGAAGCCTGCACTTCTCACTGGTTTTTTAGACATGCTATCAGATATGGTACAAAGGTTGCTTAAGTCAGCATATGATTACAGGCATACGCCGACTTCTTATATATTGTAATATCATACGCTAAATTAATTAGTGGCTGCTATGGCCCCTCCTTTACATTTGTACGCTAGTAGTTCGGAAGCGGCCGCGTTATTATCCGACGGTCGTACGTTCTTTCAAATCACAGAATCAGAATATTTGATGATTTCATTATTAATTTAACTGATCTCATTACACAGTTTTAACATTAGATAGTAGTTTTATACTGTTTCAGTGAGACTTACTGTCTACTCTTATTACATTTTTCAAATAAGATCATGATTTTCACTTCTCAATTTAAATTATTTTTATTACTTTAAATAACTTTAAATCTCATTTGAGTGTTATCAAAAAGCATTACTTTTTAAAAAATTAAAAATAGTCTAAAAAAAACCTTAAAATGTCTAAAAATAGTAACTTTATACTAAGAATAAGACTAAATGAAATTAAATGAGATTACTTTCTTAATTTTTTTAAGTCATGATCTCATTTTGAGATCTGATATATAGTTATTTTACATGTTTTTTTAATGATTAGTCTCAGCAGAATTCATGTCAAGAAATATATAAGACTAGATTAAATAAGATTAAATATGAAATTTATAATTCTGATGATTAGTCTAGAAATTATTAATTTCAGTATTTTATTTTTAATATAATTTAAATAATAGCTGAGTTTATTTTAATCATATTTTTTAAATATATATATTTTAATTATTTATATTTATTTATATAAATATATACTGATTATTTATTAAATAGTAATAAAATAATAATTTATTATAACTGTATTATTTTTATTATAAAAAATACAGTTAATAATTAATATTATAAAAACTTCGAAAAATAAATATTTTAAAAATACTACAGATCTAAAATTATAATTTTTTTCATTTTAATATTTTAATATTTTAATTTTAATTTTTAATTTTTAATTATTTAATATTAATTATATAAATTATAAATTATTTTAGTTTAAATTTTAAAAAAATAATGATATTTAATAATATTTTCTGTTAAATTTTCAACAAATAATTATTATATTATAATATTATATGAATAAAAATAATTTTATAATTTTAATATCATTCTCAATAATAAAATCAGAATAAAAAATTTAATAAAAAGTTTAAAAATATTTTTTATTTGAAATTAAATTTTTAGTTGAAAAGTAAATCTGAAATCTTCAATATTTAAAATAAAGTAATTTGAAATTAATATAATAAATATAAACTGTAATTAAAAGTAATGTCTTTAAATAATATAATAACTGTAAAGTTTGATTCTGATCTCAGACATAATCACATAGCAGTCTACATATTACAGAGCATTTTGTATAGAAAAGTTGGTTTTTCTATAATAAAGAGAAGAAGATTATAGAAAAAATGTCTCTTTCATATACTGACTAAGATAGCTGTGTGTGGTTATTTGAGGACCTTGGTAGAACATCAAGAAACATGTGTTTGAACATAGCAAATCCACCTTCACATAACCTCTATATGGTAACACCGATGATTCTTGATGCGCAAGTTTCCGTCTTGGAGCCTGCAGCTTCAGCCTTAGGCATCGGCTTGATGCTCCAAGGATCGCAATTTGGCCAGTGGCTTACTTGTCCCCGCAGGCTTGTGCCAGACATTACAATTGCCGAGCTCGCACTCGCCACCAGTTTGGTTGGCCTGCATTTGACAGCATTCTGCTCCTGGGCAGAGAGGTAAATATTAGGGGAAAATATTGTTCTCCGTTTTCATCCAAAGGCACTTAAAGGTGTCCCCGCGAGCACCCGAACACTTCTGGAGAAATGCAGGCGACTCTCTGGGTATATTTACCCTAACATTAGGGCCGAGTCCTATGCCAGGGGATCGAGCGCTATAGGCAGCTAGGCTAGCTTTGATCGGCAGATAAATTAAACCCTGGCTATCTGTAGTTTTAGCGTGGACCGGATGCAGAGAAATATCATCGATTCGTCACCCAAAAGTGAGCAAATATCACAGCGAGCGCAGGCCGTAGTAACTCCTCCGCACGCGAGCCACTGACTGATTCAAAACATTATTGCGAGGGGAAAGACTCCGGCTCAGAATATCCTAGACAATAATTCTGCAACCCCTGGCAAGCGGATTCCTGGGTGATAGGCCGTTCCCCACGGATAAACTTTCAGGCCTCACTCGCTTTGAAGGACTCTTTCTAGCGTTGTTTTCCGCTTTTTGGCTGTTCATGGAACGGTTTGGCCAGTCCCATCATCCATGCGAACCGATGACACTTTGCAATTTTAAGAGGAATGTCCTCAAGAATGGTGAGCGTTGATGCCCTGAAGCCAGGTGAAACCTGCTGCCGCTGCCATCATCGTAATTCTTGTCGAGACCCTGTGCCAATGGAAACCAAGCCGCCTTTGGAGTACTCCGTACATCGCAATATATCATAATCGGCTATTAATTCGAGGTGAAAAGCAAGACATCTCCGACTTACCATCGATGCTACATGTTCATCCATGAATGTCAATTGTCGATTCCTGGGGCAGGAAACAGATGTGATTCCCGCGTGATATGAATCCCCCCTTCACCTCGTAGCCATCTCAACGGAGCGTTTTCTCTTCTTCTCTCAAATATATTCCACTTCCTCTGTCCGTGTTTGGGCAGCGTGAGGACGGGCTACCATGCGGAAACCCAAATGCTAAACTGAGCATGCTAAGGATTCTAGACGGGTATTCCCCCCACCCCACTCGAAGGATTGATCCCTTTTGGTGCGGTTGTTTACGCTCTCATCCTCAAGCGTATCACACGTACCAAATCCAATGGTGCCCGCGGCTCGCAAGTCAGTTACAAGTTAATTGAAGGATTGAAATCGAGCTACTTCTGCAAGATCCCCTAAATCTTGTTCGCGATGTTGTTTCTCCGTTAACGTTTGACAGGCGATGAGAGGCACTGGCGTCGGGGTGTCTCGGTGTCTTTGAAAATCCCCTTTCTCAGTTCTTCCATCTTCTGAACACGAGCAGCTACAATATTCCCTGTACAGCGTAGTTACTGGCCAAAAAATTTCCTCTTGCCGAACGCTAACGAAGTGATGCCTCCACTTGCAGCCCACTTGGCAATCAAATTACTGGCCAGAACTGTACTATGATCCTGTTTTTCCGAACGGAATCACCTACCTGCCCGAAAAGATTTGTTAATATCTATAATCGTGGAATACGAAATGAAATGCGTGACTAACCTATCCGGCCTGCCGTGGAGGGGTCTCACTTTGAAGGGAGTATGCCAATTTTGCCGAACTTAAACAAGACAACGCCGTCTTTGAAACGGACCTTGCACTCTGGATGGGGCCTGGTGAGCCGGCACGGGTTGAAAAATGTGGCGCGAGCGAAGTTACGTTGGCCGCGAAGAGAGCGGCCTTGGTCCTCATTTTCTCCTTCCATATCAACTTCATTCCGTTTCATCCGGCCCTGAATGGGAAACCCCGGATGTAGTCGGCCCTCAGTCACTTCTCAGAAGCCAAAATATCGAAATTCACTATACCGGTCATGGCACGATGCCCATGAACTGCATCACATGGTGGACATCGGCAAGGGAAAATTTACAATATATCCAACTGATGGTTCAATCTAAAACAGACTTTTACAGACTTCTGCAGTCTTGTCTCCATCTTGGGTCGCCGTTCTCATTAAGTGCAACATCGATGGTGGAGAGAATTGATGCAAGTTACTGCGTACCTTTTTTTGGTTTTGGAAATGGACTACAACCGAAGTTACAGCGAACTTTGATAAGTGCTTAATACTGCAAACCAGGGAAAATTCCCTCGGGGGGTACGGTAGGCCAAGGCCTCTTGAGGACTATGGATGCGTAGTTAAGAATGATAATCGACAACTGTTTCTACTGAATTTTGGTCCACCTCTTTCCTACGTCTCGGGCTGAAAGCTTGACCTTCGCAGCGCGTGGTCGATGTGAGATTGGAGCTCTTTGGGATAGGGATAAATAACCGGAAAATTAAATTATGCTCTAACCTTTGTCAACAGATCGGGAGCAAAGCTCACATTGTCACACTTACCGACTTCACTGTCTCTAGACAAACGAGAATTTCCCTAATGAGCATACGATTGGAATCAATTGTTTTATCCCTCAGAGAGAATATGGAATTTGGATGGTTTTCCCCTGAGAGGCGCCTTTTCTCCATCTATGGGCTGAATGTCAAAAACCAAACGAGCACAACCAATTCTCGGCAAACAAAATAATTCCCGGCCTTTCTCAATCCCAGATCTCAAGTCCGTATGAAAAACAGAGATAGTTTGCGTTAACCTTGCGAACCTTTCCCATACATATGCGAATACATTACTCGGAAAAAGAATTTGTACGCGAAATTCCTTGGGATACGATCCAGCGGCAAACAAATCAAATAGGCTTCTACATCTCCCTCACGCCGGATTTTGAAAGGCCAAGTCGGTGAATTCTTCCATTTGTTCAAATATCTTGTTCGCTGCATATTTTTAAATATTTCATGTATACTGGATCTGTTTTTGGAAATTAAAAAAGAATCTATCTATATATATATTTTTAACTCAGCCCTAACCGACGATTCTGAAGCGGAAGATGAGAAGTTGAGAAATAATCGCTATGATCAATTATGGATAAAATTGCCCATGTAACAAAAGTTGAATATGAGCCATGAATCTGGAGTGTTGAATTCCAGATGCAAAGATTGTTGAAGTCGGCAGGTGTCCATTGCCTTCGGACTGGGCTGATTTATTGCATACAGTCCCATAATCATCATCAAGAAGAGCGTGAAAGCATCTCATTCCCCAGCTTATAAAACTTTTGTGAACAATATAGTTTTCTCCCTTTTCTATAGAATAGAATCGTAAACATTGTTTATACGGCGGATATTAGCCTACCCTTCGGGGACGTGTCCGTTTGGTTCCCGCGTTGAGTATGTAGTTAGTACACAGGGACTCTGCAAAATTGCACAGCAGTAGGCCTCGGCAAAAATCCATATTGTTATCCACCGCGGGGCAGCTACAAATAATGGATTAAATAATCCGCTCTTATCTCTACGTCTGTGCCATGTTAAATACATTTTAGATTTATGTAAATCAATTCGATTCTAATAATGGTGAGGCTTTGAATTCGATTATCGAAAGCAAAATAAAAAACAAAGTGAGAAATATATCGCAATCCAGCAAGGAGACGAGGCTGTAAATAGTCCCACCATCCCTCGGCAAGAAGGAAAACAGAAAAGAATATACGGTGGTATTAAGAACCGAGAAGAAAGAAAGATAAACATGACCAACCTCCCCTCCCCTCCCTTCCACTCCGCGGATGGCATTGCCAACCTCCGTGACCTGGGCGGCTACGCAATTTCGCCTACTACCTCCGTGCGGCGCAACTTCATTTTCCGCTGCGCTACTCTGTCCAACACCACACCCGAAGGTGCAAACTACCTTACCAGTAAACTCGGCATAACTACCATCTACGACTTCCGCTCTATCCCCGAGTGCGAGCGCTCCCCCTCAATCGACATACCCGGAACAACCCGCCGCCACGTCCCCGTTTTCAAAGACCAGGATGCAAGTCCCGAAGGCCTTGCGTTGCGCTATATGGACTATGCCTCCTCTGACGGACCGCAAGGATTCATGCGCGCGTATGCAGAGATACTGAGGGCGGGCGCTGCGGGGGGAGCGTTCCGTGCTGTGTTTGAACATATCCGCGACAGGCCTGAGGAGCCGTTGTTGTTCCATTGTTCGGCCGGAAAGGACAGGACGGGTGTATGCGCCGCGCTGATTTTGCGGATCGCCGGGCTTCTGGATGATGAGGTTATTGGGCGAGAGTATGAGCTCACTGAGGCTGGGTTGGGTGAGTTGCGACAACAGTCTATTGATAGGGTGTTGGCTCATCTAGCTTTTGATGGTGATAGGGAGGGGGCGGAGAGGATGGTTTCAGCAAAGGCGGCGGCGATCATGGCGACAATGAAGTGGGTGGATGAGAAATATGCTGGGGCGGAGGGGTATTTGAAGAACGGGATGGGATTTAGTGATCAGGATATTGCGGCAATAAGGAAGAATTTGATAAAACAAGAGAAGGCGATCCTTTGAATGTATACAGTTTTGGGAAATGTGATGACTCACAACAAGATACGAATGCGGGCTTATAGATGAGATAGAAAGACAAAGATAGAAGTCTATGTTGTACATATATATACAACAGGCATGAGATACCCGGAACAGAATAACCTGAGCAGGGAGAACGAATCCCTGGCGTCCAGCGTCATTGATGAATTCCCGTGTCAGCAACATAATCGAAGTGAAAATCACCAGTTCTCCCAAATAACGTGAGGGAGAACTGTCCTCATAATACTCCAATGGCCAGCAGCGCTTTGAGAATGCCACCTTACCAAGTCTCCAACTTGGCCTTCTGCAAGGACATCCTGCTGGCCATCCTCGGCTTTTGCAAAAGAAGCAGCCTCAATTTCAAGTTGAGGCATCAGATACGCTTCCCTGGACTTGCTGCCGAGAAAGTCGGCATCGGTAGTGTTTCGGAACTCCAAGGGCGAATCCGTCAGTTTACAGAAGATAACCATATTGGTAAAATCGCCTTCCCTGGTATCTGCAGGCGGTTCGCTCTCACGGAATATCCGGCAACTTGGGAAAACAGCCCTGATCGTTCGAACAATAAGACCAGAAGAGGGTAGGGTCAAATCTCCAGCGTAGTTCTGTTGGATTTTGGGTCACTGTGTAAGCGAGGCTAAACGAAAGTATCAGGAGATAAAACGAGAATAAACTAACAATAGCAATAACGCCGTCTTCCTTCAGAAGCGAGCGGAGACCTTTCATAAACTCTATCGTGAACAAGCTAACTGGCTCTACTCCGCCAGTAAAAACATCGTGCACAATATAGTCAAATGTAGGGGCCGGAGTCGCTCTGCTTGCTTCGTCTACGAATTTGACCGCGTCTTGTATAACTGGTGTAAAGTTTTTTGGAAGGCTGAAGTAATCCTCAGCAAGATGGAGTACTGCAGGGTCTATCTCGACAACTGTTGTATCTATGCCGTGATTTACGAGTGCGGTGGGCGTTGTACCGATTCCGAGGCCGCTGTGTTTGAGATTAGCATAAATCATCCCAGCAAGGAATAAGCGATGAACTCATTTACACAACGAGAGAATTGGTCCCAGTGCCTCCCATCCTTGAACTTCCATCATCATTTTTGATCAACCTCACCGCCTCTAACATCGTAAAAATCGAATATATAGGCTCTCTGACTTCCGGATATTGCGCGTTAGGCATTTGGGTCCATTCTCCGCCTAAAAGACTATGATCACACCTCATCACCCTATAGTGTTCCTTGACGTTCTCCAAAACGGATAGGTATCCCGTCAATGACTCCTCTCGGTGCAACAAAACGAAATCTTCCGCTTGTAAGGTTGAGTTCAAAAGTGCCGTTGTATGCTTGAAAGGAAAGTGCACGTTATATCCAGACGAAAACAGCAATGGGGGTAACGCGAGCAATAACCATTTCGATGGGAGAGAAATGGCGTAAAGGGACGCAGTTATAAGTTGTAGCGGAATGCGAGCCATCAAGGCGTTCTTTCCAATATACCCAGGCAACAAAATACCAACAAACTTTTGGAGGGTGATAAAGAGAATATACGACCCAAAAAAGGGTCCATGATTCCCCAAAGTCTCACCGTACCGCCTCAAATCTGCGTCTTCAAGCAACATGGCCACTGAAGAGACGGACAAAAACACCAAAGGGAAATATGTGAGGAGTTCTGTCAAGAGAGGGCCATATACAACGCCCAGCTGGGCGCTTCGCATAAACAGGAAAAACTGAATAGTCGGAATTGTGAAGGCTAGCACCGGCAAGACGTTCATGATCTTTGTGGATAGCCGTTTCCTGATTTGGTCCTTTGCGAACCATCCACTGAGAGCAGCCACCATCATCCCCCTCTGGTGGAAGGCTGCTGATGGGACGGATCCATAGACTGGCGAGAGTGTCAATTGAGATATTGGAGAATAGGTGGCCGTAAGCACCAGAAGCAGAATAGCGAGGCCAATCAATTGAATAGTTTTTGGTGCGGAAAAGACTCGATTCTCGGTGCCCTGGGATTGTGAGGGTGGTTTCCGTTTATCTTCCACTTTCTGAGCGGACTTCCCACCCTTAGAGGGGGATTTTCTAGCTGGCATGGCAGCGGTACGGAACCAAAAATATATTTAAAAGTAATCCGAGTATCTCGCTCATCTATGAAAGACTAGTGCGATGAAGCAGAGCAGGAAGACTTGGATAGGTGGCAGGATCGAACGGGTCTTGAAATATTAAAATTATGTGGGGCATATGCCGCACAAAACAGCTGAAAGCTAACGAGCTTGGCTTCACCAAGGGACAGGTATAGCGGAGATTGGCAGTATACGCAGTATGATACAGGGAATTCAGAACGAGCTTGAGCTAGAAGACAGCAGAATGATCTATCATGAGCGTGTTGAAGCCAACTTGAGACTGGGATGAAGTTCAAATATATTCTAATCAGGCTTAGCGTCAACTGGATGGTCCGGGCGCGTAGCCGCAACCTTAAGATCCGTCATTGGCGCCCGTACGTAGTTACCGTACGCCATCAGCGCCATTTCTTACTCGACCATTTCATATGGGCAGACATTGCCAAAGCTCACAAATTTGTCAGAATTTTGAAGAAACCCCCGTCTAGCAGAATGTGCTTGGGATGTCGGACACAGTGCCGTTCTTTCCAATGAATACAGGCACTTATATGCAGCCCCATAGCTGCAATAGACAGACAGATCAACCAGCTCAAGAACCACCACCTATAAATCCTCCTGCCTCTGTCCAAGTGAAGAATCGTCGGAAACGATATCTCGATGCGCACCCAGAGTACTTTTCTGCGGCTCTCGAACTAGCTGGTTAGCTTTTGTTTGTTCCTAACGTTAGTTTACATTCGCTGCTAACAGCTTTGGCAATAGACCCCCTTCTCTACGACCGCCTGATTAGACGATTCCAAAGTGCTACAGAGAGGGAGGAAGAAGGTCGCGCTAAGGGATACTCTGGCGTACTTGAAGCCGATCTATTGAGATCAGAGGCTAAAATGGAGGCACTGGCGCATCCCGACCCTAATGCGACCGTCACATACACCCGCGGGCCCAACGGCGAGATTCTCGCCGAGGATCAGGATGAGATACCAGAAACGAAGGAAGAGGGCGCTGAACGATGGCGCTGGGAAATGGAGCTGCGGTTTCTGAGGGGTGCGGATCATGAGTTTGATTACACCGCTGTTGATCAAAATGAGGAATATGATGACTGGAATGAAGAGCAAGAGCGGTATTTCGACGACGAGGAACCACATTTCATGCTTGATGAAGACGATGAAGGCCATCAAAAGGAAGAACTGAAAGGCGAAACTGGCATTCAAGACTTTTAAGATCTTTTGATGCCTTGCCACTGCGCTTTTACGGGTTGCCCATTTTGGACGACTCATGGGTTAAATGCCAAGCAGCGCCCTGGTTGTTGAGGCGCATCTTCTTCTGGGGACTATGAACCTGCTTCACATTTACCTTCGGAGTTCAAAGGAACTTGACAGGATACAACGGTACAGCTATGTCGATCTGGCAATCTTCTCCGTTGCAGGGTTCTCCATGTCAGCTGAAGGTTGTCTTGGATTCGGCACAACGCACAAGCCCTGGTCAGAATGAGGGGAAAGTTCATGACCCAGCGTACAGGCGGTACATTTGGGAATACCTAGCATTATCCAGAAATTCGGCTCCATATTCTTTCAATTATTCAACCGTACCGCAGATGCCATTTCCTGACGCTTAATAGCCTTTCTTCCCAATATCTGGCCTGATTCCCCATCATGTTGTTTCAACGCGGACAGCCCAAAGACAGCGAGCATGTTGATCAGATGCAAAATCCAGGAAATCTCGAGACGGGTGGGAAACCTCTTGTTGGTGTGATATTCTTTTTCGCATCGCAGATGTCTCGTAACATCCAAACTGCCAGAATCCCATCTGGCGTGGAGCCATCGTCTCACAGCCAATCTGAGCCACCAAAGGTGCACCGTCTCGACAACTTCTTATCAGAGGTTCAGGAACATGCACATGCAAGTCCACTTGTCACAAAATTCGAGACTATTCCGATTGAGATGGCTCCTCCTAGCCGCCCACGGGAAACAACTCGTGACGCCATGCACGACACGCACGCTGTTGCTTGTCAATTTCAAGAACAAACAGGCATGGCAGGAATGGATTCAGACGAAATAATAGTAGGGTTTCATGTAGAAGACGGGGAGGGATGATGTTTTCAGACGCCTTCCCCATGTTACATGCGCCAATAGCTTAAAGGGTTTGAGGAACCCTCTTGAGGTCCTGATGGCCTGAATTGGAAGCAGTCACAAACAATGGTATGTTTGAAACGGAACCCGTTGTCTGTCAGATGGGATCTCAGAAAAAGAGGAAAAGAAGGCTAAAAGAGCGAATGAAGACCGACCGGTACATTACAGGAGCGAGTTGCCCATCGTTCTAAACAAGTACTATGGCTTTGTCGTTCTTTAATGGTCCCGAAAATGACTCAGTGAGCTTCCGAGGTGTCTGATAGAGCGTGCCTACCCTGACATTTACGGCGGGAGAAGCAGATGCAGCATTGCTGTCGTGCATTTCGGAGGTGTCCGTTTTAATGCCCTCTCCTTCAACCTGGAGGCCTTAAAAGTTGGTCGATGCATTCCGCAGTGAGGAGCCATACTAAATTGCGCATGGGGCTTCGTTCTTTTAAGTAGAAGACATACAATATGACAGACAGATCTGGCAATGCCAGGTTCAGGTTCTAACTTTCATCCTTCTATGCAAACGAACTCCCTTTCTCTCTCAAAAATTCTTCTGCCAATTTGCGACCTAGATATATAACTTATACATGCAGGCGTGAGGGCGACCTCACAAACTTAATCTATGCCATCAAAGGGAGAAGAACAAAATTGTCGCCATCCTAAGCCTCTCACCGAGGTAACAACCCATACACTGGTTATTTAAAATTTCAAGCGTTCAAAGTTTTTGCAGACGCTGCATCCGTATGGTATGGAATCAAACGTCGCCGTGACCATACCGTAAATACTCTGACATCCCTTACATACGCTGCGTACATTTCCATTCCCTGAAAGGAACAAGCCGAGCCACCTACAGAAAGGAAAAAACACGAGAAAAAGCAATGAGAATGGACCCTTGGAAGTTGGGGATGGAACAAAAAAGGAAGTGCGCCCCGTGGATCCCGTCCCTCCACGCACCCGCCCCTAGGTCTTGGCGCTCCGATCTACGCGTCCCCGGCCTTGGCTCTTGGCTCTTGGCGATGAGAGGACTTGGCAGCGTTGGTTTTCGGGGCTTGTCATGTTTCTTCTGTGGAAGTGTAACCAAGAACTATTTGCTTGGCGATGCTTTGTTTTGCGTCTACCTCCTGAAGATTGTCTCTCTTCGTGCCAATGCAATTGGCTAATTGATGAGGTTCCAGTTGCGCTCCTTGGTGTATGACTGTTCAACTCGTTGTCGGTATGACTACTTACGGAGTAGATATGCCGTGGCTATGTTGATAGAAAATGAAGAGGCAGCGAGCTGTTGTGCGCCTTGTGGAAGGTTCGGCAAAGGCCCGATATCTAACCTCAATCACACGTTCAAGTCCGCATGCGACCTGATGAGAACTAGGAACTCTATAGAGACAATGAGAAAGACCAGGACCAAATAAACCAGGCAGTGCGTGAAGTGACTGATTTTCCTATCTTCCCCGATGTTCAAAGTGAAGACCACTATTCGCTCCTCCTTCTAGCTATCCGTGAATGCCGCTTGCTATTGGATTTCTTCCCAGATCTAACGACCAAAACGTCCCACAGCCAAGCTAACCATTCAGTCACCAATCCCGGCGAGGCATATTATCATTACACCGCCAAGTGTCTCACGTTCCTTTCCTGGGGAGATAAGGTATATGCAGTATCATTCCATGACTTGAGCTTACGCAACTTGTGCTTTCTCTTTGCCGCACGCCTCTCACACGGATTTCACCTCTCACAGATAGGCCAAGAAATACATGTGTGCGTGCATGCTTGCTCAACGCTCGACTGCTACAGGAAGCATTCCTGAAAACGTCAAGACGTCTTATTCCCCTGCACTCGTACAGATAACCGGATTCTTCCGTTTCGCCAGAGAATCTTATGTTAACCCTATCCACGACTACTACACAGTATTAGCAATGGGGCGTCGGAAGGTTTCAGGATTGACCTGAACCAGAAACAAGGCTTTTCTTTTCCCTTTCGCGCCCCCTGTGCTTGATGTAACTTATCTCAACAAATTACACCCAGGGTTGCAGGATGCGGACCTCGACTTTGACTATGTATCGGCAGGCTGCCGTTCTCGATCAATACACATCCGCGGGATGGTCGAAACAAAATGAAAAATAGGTGATGACATGTACTGAAGGAAGCAGCACCTCACCCAGCTGAAGACGGTAGACAAAATTCCATGCACATACTGTACAGTATATACAGTCCATGTGTTCGACTTCCAGAACTCTGCAGATCTGCATAAATTTATATTCATGCCATCATATCAAAACCCGCCTAGCCTGGATGTGCGATTTGATCGAATTCAGACCATTGTGCCATTCCTCCAGCTATCTTCTATGCCCTGCATATATTCTTTTGAAAGATGAAGCCAAAATCGTGGTCCTGCAACGGGACGTTTAGTTGGTCAAAAGAAAGTAGAACCCCACCCGGGTGGGGGGGTTAGCAACTCCCAGATTCGGGCGATGTTCTGTGTGCATGTCGCGCATGTCGCGTTATGTCTCATTTCTCTTTCAATTTTCCCCTACACGCCATCTACAACCAACAGAACATTATGTGCAAATGGGAAGAGATAAAGAATTACTGGATCTGCACGTATTCTCTGTAAGTCGGTATTTCTCTGTGAGTCGGTATTCTCTGTGAGTCGTGGAGCGAGGGAATGCAGCAGGTGATGTTGACGGTTGTGGTGGTGGTGATGAGACTGATGAAAACGATGACGCTGCAAAGCTTGGCTGCATAGGGTCTCTTCTTATTTTGGTTGTTGTTGTTCTCCTCAGAGGGTCCCCTGTGTCTGTATACCTTGTGTGGCACACGACTACGGCCCGACTACGGAGTACTCTGTACGAGAGGGAGGGACACAACAACCACATTTTCCTTTGCCAAGATGTTGAAGGCCAAGAAGGGCGGAGAATCAAAAATGAAACAAAGGGAAACCGGGTGGCCGGCGGAACGGCATTACAAGCCGGCGTACCTCAGTACGCTCCCGTATAGTTTTCCCTTCCCTCCGGTTGCCGTCCTTTGCCAAAATTGGAGGGGAAAGAAAAAACCAAATATGGTACCATCGCGAGGCACCCGCACCCGCTCCTATTCCGGATCTACATGTACTGTACATGTACATGTACAATGCAGAACCAGCCAAGAAAAACCACAAGGTTCGATTTCTTCGTTTGTCCACCACCGGAAGGAGGAAACAGAAAAAGAAGCCGACCTGCTGCGCCTCTTGTGCCTTAGGGAGGGAGAAAAACAAAAACTAGTGAAAAAATAAAATAAGGTTAAATAGCTTAAATATTGTCTCTGACGAGTTTGTATGTATTGTAGATCATTGCACCCGAGGCAAGCATATGTTGACTCCGCCCCCGTTTACTCCATATGGAGAGAAGTCTTCACACTCAAAGTCGCCCTGCCAAGCAACTTCAATAATAGTTTGCCAAACTACGATCTGTACAGTATGTTTGCGCGTTCCTATTCTTGGCGTTTAACTCCCTGCGCGCTCCCGCACAATAGCCAGCACAGCAAAAGTATGGGTATACAGAGGAGCAGGGGATAATGGACGTGAGGACTGGAGGACCCAAGGACGCCGCCCCCCCGTGAGAGACCACACATTGCAGGTGGTGTGATACCACGACACCCCAATCATCATCATCATCATGATCATCATCACCTTATCATCCCCCTTTTCATGGGAGATAGTTACCAGCAAACTATTCACGCCAAGACCCCAAAATTTAAATACCGACGCCCCAGCCAACCCGCCAAGCAAGCCACCCAGCTCCCGAAAGTTTGAAACCGATGGGATCTGCAGATCTCATCCCAGGATTAATTAGTTGCAGTCTGTAGAATTTCGGCCGAGCCGGGCGGCCCCGATTACGCGCCAAGGGGGGCTTGGACGTTGGAGAAGGCCCCGGCCCGGTGGGGGGGGAATGTGCTGTTGTTTTGTGTGTGTGTGTGTGTGTGTGTGGGTGTTCACCGCTGCTCAGATTGATGAAAAATTGCTGATGAGACTGTGACGGAGTGAGTTAGGTATTATTATGTATGTAGGTAGGTAGGCACAGCTGCGCCTTGGGAAATTGCGGAGTCTGGTTTTGCGTTAGCATGCCTCTTTTCTCTGTCTTCATCTTTCTCAAAATATAAAAGTAAACATTATTCATTCTATTCATTCTATTCATTGTTATCAGGTTGGGTATGTATATACAGTAGCCGACGATGCTATCTAGGTACGGTACCCGAGCCACCATTGCGAATATATATATTAGGTATATATGTCACTGAAGCAAGATAGGCAAAGCACGCGTTGACAGGCAGAACGACAGTATCAATGTATTAGGTAACAGAGGGAATAGTTAGAAAGGACAAGACAAGGGGGAAAGAAACTAGGAGCTGGTCTCAGAGAGACAACTGTGTGAACAAGAGGAGGGAAAGGGAAAACCACAAGAGAGATGGGGGGTAAAGTGTAAGAACGCTCCAAGCAAGCAAAATACACTCGTTGGTAAATAGTGTCTTCGCTGTTAAACTAAACTAACCCATTAATTACCCGGGTATTTCGAAGAGGGTTAACGAATTTGAAAAAGGTTTATGAAAAGAACAAAAGGATACAAAAAAAAGTGGGGGGAGGGTAATGAAACAACCACGCTCCTTCAATTATGTACCAAAAAAAAACCATAATTTCTCCATGTAAAGATTGAAGCGACAACCTAAAATCGATAGACTGGCCGGCTAGCAAAGGAGAAAAACGAAGAAAAGTAGTAGTATTAGTACGATTAATAGCCAGGGCATACAACAAAAGAAGCAGGGAATAAGAACAAAGCCACCATCGCGCCGCCGTGTATATGTACTGAGTCACGCAAGGAATATGTAAAATGAAAATAAATAACATAGATAAATAAAAAAATATTTTTGAAGCATGGGGTTTAAAATGCTATGAAAGTTAACGCAGGGTAGAAGGAAGACAAAGCCAACCCAACCAAAACATCCCAATGCAGGACACGAAAGAGGAATAGAAAATGAAAAAAAAAAAGAAAAAATCAATGGACATAAGTGAAACAAACAGTGGAACCGCAAGAAACCCCAGCCCACGCAATGTATGGTAAATAGTAAGAGAAAAATCATTTCAAGTTTCCACCCCGTAACCATCTACAAAGGGAAAGGTGATACATGATGAAAAAAAAGTCTTTCGCGTGAAGACAAAAGGGGATCAATCACGGGTAAGGAGGATGAGAGGGTGTAATTCTAGAAGAAAAATCGGAGTTACAATAGGATGAGTCGGGAAGCCTTTACTGGTATCCATCGCCCATGTCAAATCGATGTTGCGGGAGCAGTCTCTTCGAAGGTGGGAAATGGTTATGAGTTTTCTGCACCACCATCTTGCTAGCTAGTCTGTGACTGTCACTGCTAGCGACATCGATCGAAGTGACGACCCTGCCCGGTTCGATGGGTTCCGGAGCGCAGCATTCAATTGTTTTAAAAAAGCGGTCGTGCATGACCTCTTGGATAGTGGCACGTTTAGCAGGGTCCGGATGGAGCATCTTTAGAATGAGGCGTTTTAGGCCAAAATATTTAAGACGTCGGAAAAGTTCACCGCATTTCGGATACTCGTCCTCTGTGATGATTCTGTCCGGATTTTCCTTCAGGAACTTATTCCAGCCATTGAGGAAATTGGCGTATTGAACGTATTTGCTGTCAGCTGCTGGCCACGGGCTGCCGCGATATTGAAGGCAGAGGTAGACGATGGCGCATGACCAAATATCAAGAGGACGAGGGTCATATTTATCTATGTGTCACAGTCAGCGGCAGTGAAATTAAAAATTAAAAATACCAAGGCAAGAACACATGAAATTCTTACCCTTCTTTGCAAGAACTTCTGGGGCAATATATGGTAAACTACCACATATGCCCGGTGAGCACAGACGGACACCGTTCATCTCTTTACCACACCGTCCGCCAGAAGAGCGTAGGCCGGGATGGATACCACTGAATACCTCCGAGACGCCGAAGTCTGTTATTTTAATATGGCCCTCATCCGAAAGAAGTAAATTCTCCAGCTTGATATCACGGTGAGCAATACCGTTTTCATGCAGATAGGCAATGCCGCGCACAGTTTGTTTGAAGAAGCAAAGGATGTCTATGTCGCCAAGATAATCCTTCTGGACTAGCGAAAATAGCTCCCCATAAGAGCACATCTCCATCACATGGTTCCAACGTCCATTGTGCGTACAAAGGCTAAATGTCTTGACGATATTAGGGTGATCGAGGCTTTTTGCAATCGAATACTCAGATTTGACCTTCTTGATATATTCATCCTCGTCCTCATGTTGTCCACGTTTCCTAAACTCTTTTACCGCATACAGATCGTGTCTTTTCCCGCCTTTCCGACACATCACCTTGACGGTTGCAGTCGCACCTTTCCCGATTTCTTTGGCCCTCTTCCCTGGAACCCGGCTGGCCCTAACGTACTCTTCGTCTAATTCGCAAGTGTCGACGTCAAAGTCGTCTGGAAAACTTGCGCTCATCCGACGTGACTTCAACCCCACACCCTCGACAGCGGGTATCGAAAACCCAGGGCGTTCCGGTTGGCTCCGCACATCACTCAGGCTCGGGGATCGTATTCTCTGACCAATTCTGTTGGGTCTGGGAGTCGAACCGAACATGATCTTGCTCCTTTTTTTCAAACTTAGTCCCGTCGATGCTCGAGCTGGTTTCCTATGGACGAAACTAGACTCGGAAGGCGTTGAGCTGCTTAGCAGGACGGCAGCAACACCGTTAAACGTACTTGAAGGTGAGGATGGCGATTGTGGTGACCCCGAACGTGACGTGGTTGTTGGTGAATTTCGGGAGGGGAATGGCACAGTACCATGATGGATGATGTTGGTGACTATCGAGATATTATGGGCGTGGGAAGTTCCTGGCAGGTTAGAAGAGTTTGAAGTGTGTGCGGCAGACTCCTCCAAGCCATCAGCACTGCCCTTTTTCTTCCGGAAAAGCGACTTGATAGACTTGGACGCAGTTCTCAAAGGTGATGCGCGGCGGGTCGGGGACAATGAGGCAGCTTCGGGAATACCGTTTGCGGGACGAGTCGAAGATTTTGATGTAGAGTGAGGGGGAGCATCGGTGTTGACAACAAGCGGCTTCGACGCCGTGTCAAGGTGTGGATGACCATTGTTGAATGGAGTCTCGTTGACAGTACTCGTAGGAGTCAAGGGTTCAGGAGGCTCACTAGCGGTCTCTTCGTCCTCTTCCACGATAGCCTGTGGTAGGTCTGCAAGACGGATACCTTCGAATTCCGGATCTGCTGTCAGCATCAGACTTGAAAAGGATGCTGTGAGCTGGGAATCGGCCTGGTCAGGAATGCCGGCTGGTGAGTGGCCCTCGGATGGGTGCACAACATGACTTGATGTGATTGGACCCGACATGATTGTTTATAACAACCCAAATCTCTTTCCTTCGTTATACACCCCCCAAACAAATGCAGGGTCAGAAGAGGTCTAGGGGTCGACGGAGTAGGAAAATTGGTCGTGTCCAGCCAGACGGATAAACTGTTGTTTTAATACTTTGGTTCCTATTTTTATTTTTATTTTTTATCTTTTTTTTCTGTATCGTTTTTGATTTGTCCCCGGCTAGCTACCTAGGCAGTATTCGAAACGCTCGAGGATATGAGTGGTCAATGGATGGATGTAGTTCCGTGTTATTTGGGGTATCTGGTTTGAAAGAAATCGAATGACGGTTCTCTACCGGGATGTGCGGAGAGAAGTCAAGTGATCAAGGATTCAGGATAAAAATTAAATGGAGAAGACGGCCGCCTGGAAACCCGTCCAAGAAGAACAGGTCTTCAAGAAGAATTGACGGGGCGGAATAAGGAGAAGTGCGGCTAATCCCTCTGGAGAGAACTGAAGCGGCCAGAGGGGGAGAAGAGGTGTCGCGGGGCGAAGGTGAGGGACGTCGGGGAGCAGATTGAATATATAGAACCCATCAGAAAACCAGATAGCAGATATACAGGTTGTTGGATAGTTTGGTTTGGTTGGAGAAAGGGAGGGTATGGAATTGGTGCTCGTTGGACAGTAGAGTGGAGAGTATAGTGCACAGAAAGAAAGTAAGTATAAAAATCAGTCGTAGGTAGGAGCAGAAGAGCGGAGAGATAGGAAGACGAACAGACAGGACAGGGAAGAGCAAGAAGAAAGAAGCGAAGAAGAGCAAGAAGAAGGAAGGGAAAAGGAAGAAGCGGAGGAGACAAAAGATAAAAGATAGCCAAGTAGGCACGCCTGAGAAGAAGCAAGTCGAAGTTGGTTGTAGTAACTTAGTGATGCAAAGTGTAGTTTGGAGATCGAGACGAGACAAGACCTTGGGAGGGAATTACTTGCTACTATTATGGGAGGGCGGATTGGCGGAGGGAGGGGGGCAACGCTTATTGCGGCCGAACTAGCTCTGTACCGTATCTATGTACCGTATGCAGGATGTAAGTTATCGTAATCGCTGCAAAAAAAGTAAAATAAAGACGATGATGTCGGGATGATGTCCAAGACTCGGGTGTTACTGGCCACAGGTACCGCAAATTACATTACGATCGCCTCCCTTGTACGGTACATACCATACCATACCGTCTGTATGTATTCTGTAATCCTGTATTCGTGAATTGAAAATCGCCTGGCTTGGCCATTGGGATGAAGAAATTTCTCGAGCGATCCTCGGCATAAAAAAAAATAGAAAAGATAAAACTCAAGCAAAACCATATCATCTTATCATCCACCCCGTGTATTCGCAAATTTCGCTAGATCGGGGTGGAAGATATGCCGTTTTCTTAAGGTTTTGCAGGAATTCAGAGTCCCGCTCCGACCGATATACAAATAATCCAAGAGAGAGTGACATCATTCATACTGAGAGCCCCAAAACGAAGCTCCCTCCTGCGCAGCCTCATGCTCAACATGGCAGCGCAGCACCGTGGCTGTTCATTCATCTATTCATCCAGCTCCCCAAGCTAACACCTAGGAAGCACGTACTCTGTAGCTGAGCAAAATGATCCAGCTTAGGACGACGACGATGATGCGGCCGCCTCGTGTTCTCTTTTAAGATCGCCGTTCGAGGGTCGCTCGCCATGGCCTTTTCCTTCTCACTTTCTTCCCCATACATTTTCCCGCCATTTAGTTGCATCTCAGTTAAGGAGTATTGAGTTCGGCGGTCGTTTGGGTGAGTTTTCGGGACTAAACCCTATTTTATATGTATATATATGTATAATAGAAATTGATGATAAGGTTCGGTTACAAGAACGATGACAACCCACCACTACGGAAATGTATCGATCACTAATTGCTGGGTGGTTAAGCTTGTTGCTACAATACAGAGAAACTGAAAGCGGTCAGGGTGATAGAACGGTGGGCAAAGACAAATAAGGAAAATGAATTCGAGATCTGGACTTTGATGGACAGTTTGGGAGAGGAATATGATGGATTGAAATTTGAATGAGAAGACACTCTAAAAGTGCATACAACAAATGCATACTAATTTCCTGAGGTATGTATGTATGATA